TTGTGAAGGCTCACATTATACTCAAGTTCTGTGAGTGCTTTTGGTTCATGTGCATAGTCTGTGTACAAGTAGGCATCTACGTCATGTTTGGATCTTCTCTAAAACATTTTGACATCTAACCTTTTAGGATAAAACCAAAGATGCAAATGCTCAGTGCATTTTCATTAGCATAAGTGCTAATATAATGCAGCTGCCCCGTGGCCATAAAACACTGACGACTGTGTCTCTGCTTGGCATGGGGAATATTATTTTTTCTCTTACTGAGCTGATTCAATCCTCAACTTTGTCATTATTTGAGTTGGAACTTTAGATTGCTGCATTTTAATGCACTCTACTATTAAGGATTGTTGGAAGGCCATGTGCAAATATTTTTGTTCTCACAATGCAGTCCTGGCCCAGGTAGCCCAATGGGCAAAATATGAACTACCCAAATATTATCATTTCTATAGTGTGTACTAAAAAGAAACCTAAGAGCAGAGCAGGGGAAAACCTCTTTTGCTATTTGGTTATCTAGGTTACATTGACTTATAATAAAAGAGCTTTTCATCCTCACTCATCTGTCCCTAATCTCGAAATTCCTGTGTTCTGGGATGGATATCTCTGTTCTAGGATGATATCTCTGTTCTAGAAAGGGCAAAATCCCATTGGCTATTGTGGAGTTTTTGCCTCCCAAGTGGAAGGCAAAAAGGAAGAGAGAGGCTGGGAAAACCTCTACCATATGTCTACCGTGTGTGAGAATTCTGGAGGTTCTGTTTGAAGTTTATTTCAAGTGTTCTCTTGTCTCTTTTTGCCCAGAACAAGGAAGTGACCTGTAAGAGAGAGAAGTGTCCTGTGCTGCCGAGAGACTGTGCCCTGGCCGTCAAGCAGAAGGGTGCCTGTTGTGAGCGGTGCAAAGGTGATTTATGTCTTGGCTGCTTTCTCTTTTGGCTGTTGCTTCAGGCGTTTTTATTTCTCTTTCTCTTCACTCAGCTCTTGGCTGTGGTGCAAGTGGGTAAATGGGAGTTGGGAGGGAAGCTGGTGTGTATGCGTATGTGTATGTGTGGCTGGCCACAGGGGGACTTTCCTAGCAGAGGCTTGAGAGTATGGCAAGTTGTTAAAATGTCACAGAGAAGATGCAAACATGATGCCTGTGTGCGCTGGTGTTACATGCACATAAGCAGTTCTGTCAAGAAGTTTCAACATTCAGATTTCTAAGACCTAGCCTCATCCTGCTTGCTTCTGCCAGATGAGTCTGTAAACCCAAATTTTATCATTTTGATCCCTCTAATTTTTCTCTCCTTCCAACTTAAATGCAAGTTTCTCTGCTTTGTCTTGAATAATTGTTATAGTACCCTTACTCCAGCTTCGTTTTCCAGAATCCTCCAACTTACAGTTATCTCTTGACTATGGGCTTCTTTGTCTTGTCTCTCTCCTTAGTCTAGGTCTTTCCTCCCAACATGTCCAGAGGCTGCCTACACTGAGCACCCCCACCCCCCACCTGCCATTCCCCCCCAGGTTTCTGTGTCAAATAGAAGTCCACTCCAGCAATGTGCTCTTCCTCCCCATGATCTCCCCTGTGTTTTCATCAGCACCTGAGGATGGAGCAGTTAACACCCCTTGCCTAGTGCACATATGAACAGTGTTAACAGAGTGGGGGTTCCCAGTAGGCAAAAGTAACAGTGACTCAGGATGGGGCTCTGTAGCTACCACCTCATGTTGGAACCCAGTAGTATTAGTGTTCCCTAGAGTTCATATCCACTGAGAACCTTAGAATCTGACCTTGTTTGAAAATAGGATCATTTGATAGGTAATTAGCACACATAGGGTCATGGTGCATTAAGGTGGGCCCCAAATCCAATATGACTAGTGTCCTTATATAAAAGGAGAAATATACAGGGACACTCAGAGAAGATGGGCTTGTAACAAGAGAGGTAGCTATAAACACCTGGGTTCTGCTCCCTGAGATTCAAAATTAGTTGCTCTGAGGATGTCGCCAGACATTTTTCTTCAAAAAAACTCCTTGAAAATTTATTATGCAGCCTGGATGGAGAACAATAAGTCTATATCTTGATGTAGGACCAGGCAGCTTCTACTTTCATACAATAATAGACATATTTGGGACATAAATGTGCCTTCAGAAATTGCTCTACAGAAACCAGGTTGACTCATGACAACTCCTGAGCCTCAAAGATCCTGTGAACTTTTCAGAACACACTATTATTTAAAAACCCACATTTCAGTTATTAATGCCAAGTGATTAATACTTACACAACTAAGGTAAATTAAAAAAATTGTTTCTTAAATGCAAAAAATAAACAAGAGAGGTAGAGATTGGAGTTTCACCCCCAGGGACAGTTGGGTTCCCAGGAGCTAGGAGAAGGCAAGGAGCTGTTCTTTGCATCTTCAGATAAAGCATGACGCTGTTGACACCTTAATTTTGGGAGCAGGCAGTCCTCTTTGACTGAGCAGTTTCGGTAGGCATGCACATAGAACTGTGAAGAAAGGGAACACCCGCCTAAGCCAGCCAGATCAGCCAAATTGACCTGTTGCAGCCAGATCAACCTTACATTGAAGACACCTCAATTTTCACTTCTGGAGTTCAAAACTCTAAATGAATTAACTTCTGTTTTCTTTAGTCATCAAGCTGTGTTAATTTGTTAAGTCAGTCCCAGGAAGATGATCTACTAGCATTCCCACTTGAACAGTTCCCTCATCTGTGAAAGGAGGATAATAATTGTGTTAGAGAGAAAGACATAAAATGCTTAGCACCCCGCCTAGCATGTAAACACTTCTAAATGAATATAAGTGTAATATAGTATATACTCTTTAAGTCTTGATAGACTTGACCATAGACATATACTCCTTGAAGTCTCTCAGAGCAGGAGCACATGGGCTGGGATGATATTTTTCCAGAACCTTCCATATCAACCATTTATTGCTCACCTTTCTCCTTTGGAGTTGGGAGTGAGGTGTTTGACCCATGTAACTTCTGAGAGCGAGCAATATGAGGTCTGAAACAGTAACTTTGTAGGAATTGCCAAAGTAGGTGGTCAGTTAAAGCAATTACAACTAAATACACATTAGTAACTAATGGTGTATCCAAGACACTGTTGTTTTGTAACTGGGTGGTCCCTAGGAGAAGGGAAGTTCCAGGTTCCCTGCCCCACCCAGAAGGAGGGTGGAGCTGAGCAGAGAAAAAGGAGAAAGAAAAAGAGAAGGAGGCCAGATGGAGAGGGAGGAGACCTAAGGAAGCCACATGGAGCAGCAGCAAACATGTGATGAAGAAACCGGGCTTGTTTCCCGACCCTGAACTGGTTAAGGCAGATGTGGGTGAGATACCTGTAGGGAGGTGACTATGGCAGTGTTTATATTAATTTTGATTTTGCTCTTTTCCTCTCAGATGTGTCTGGCCTTTTCTGACCCTTTTCCATGGGTCCCGGCCAGAAGGTGCTTTAGTCTTGTGGCAGGCTTTCAGGCCTTGCTTTGGGCCAATCCCTTTTGGGTTGACTTTTGCACACGAGGGGATGGGTAACTTCAGGTGTTTGATTTAGAAGTTATATTCTTTGTGTTCCATATTGTATATTCACTGTACTAAAGTCACTTTTCATTAAAGCTTTATATGTTTTGTCTTGTTGCGGCGGATGGCAGAGCCCACTTAGAGCAGGCAGGTTTTGGGGCTTCAGGGGTGTCTCTCTCTCCCCCTGTCCTCTAACAGAATTGAGATGCCCTATAACAGTTTCACCTTGAAGAACTTCCTCTACTTCATTGTTTTCTTTCTTTTTTTTTTTTTTGCCATTTTCATCTTTGGTGATTAATAAGGCTACCTCCCAAAGGTTGGATATTACAGGATGGAAGCAGGTTGTGTCAAGAGAAATGCATTGGCATTGTATCCTTATCTTAGACAGTACAGAGGGTATTTCTGTTGTCATTGGGTGTGGAGCATTTCCTCCTTGTCCTTCTCTTCCCTTTACCATTATTCTTTTCTCAGATTATCATAATCTCCTAAGGGAAAAGAGATACTCCTGATGAATACAATTCCTAAGTATTCTTCTTGAGCTTTAGTAAATAAACTTCATCATTCAGTTGGATCCAAGAATAGGCTAGTGAATTCAGTGACCTGAGGTCAAACCATAGGCATTTTGGGGAGGTCAGATTTTCCAGATTTCTGAGCTCACATTGCCCAGATTTCCCAACCTGTCCTGAGGTGAGCCTGAGAGAGAGAGAGAGAACCCATGAACACATGACCAGATATACTGACTTTTTGGAGGGTAGATGTTTACAGAGGCCTTCATTCTTTCCCTCTTTACTCCATAATCCAAGGAGTATGTGGGCTTTGAGGGCCACAGTTCTCACTCTTAGAGACCAGTTTATTATGTTTTTTGTTCTGGTTAGAATAGTAACACATGCTCACAGATGAAGCATTCAAAACTAGCCGAAGTGTGGGAAAGCAGAAAATAAAAGCCATCCTGGAGTAGCAATTGTTAATATTTGGTAGATTTTTAATTTTTTACCTTGTAAAAGTGTTTATCTGGTTGATATGATTCATATTGCATTATTTTCTTTTAATTTTCAGTTAGCATCAGCGCATAATACCTTCTTGATTTACTTGGAAATATTGTCCTAATGTATTTAAGATTCTGTTGTAGAAATGGTCATTTTCCCACTTCAGAGCTTTAGGAGTATTACTGTTACAGGGCAGGGAGAGAGGGGCACCACTGAACCCCCAAACCTGCCTGCTCTAAATAGGTTGTGCCATCTGCCGCATCAAGACAAGACATAAGAGTTTAATTGAAAGGAACTTTAATACAGTGAGTATACAACAGATAAGACAAAGGATATAATTTCTAAATCAAACACCTGAAGTTACCCATTCCCTCATGGGTAGAAGTCCACCCAAAAGGAGCTGGTCCAAACCAAAGCCTGAAAGCTGCCACAAGGCTAAAGCACCTTCTGGCCAGGACCCATGGAAAAGGGTCAGAAATGGCCAGACAAGTCTGGGAGGAAAAGAGCCCAATCAAAATCAATATAAACACAGCCATAGCGAACCTCCCTACGGGTTTCTCACCCACATCTGTTTTAACCAGTCCAGGGCCAAGAAACAACCACGGTTCCTTCATCACATGCTTGCTGCTCCATGTGGCTTTCTCAGGTCTCCTTCTGGCTCTCTGTCCTGCTTCCTTCTGTCCTGCTTCCTTCTTCAGACTCCTTCTCTTCTCTACTCAGCTCCACCCTCCTTCTGGGTGGGGCAGGGAACCTGGAACTTCCCCTTTTCCTAGGGACCACCCTGTTATATTACCTGGGTAGAGAGTTTAGCATCAACCCAAAGATCATTCTGGATATGCCCTCCCAAGAAATCTGACTAAACCTTTCCTCAATCCTTTGTTTCCTGTTCACAAAGGGGAAAACAACAACAACAAATATTTCGTGTTTAGTAGAAATTCTAAGCCAACAGCAGCAGCTGTGTTTTCCCTAAGTTTTCTTCCAATAAGCTTCCTCCATGCTAACCCTGGGGTTTTGACTTTTCTTACTCAAGGCTTAATTCAGTGAGGAGTAATATTAATCATATTAAGGTGAAGTCTGTTTGATAGTACTTCACTTTAGAGCAGAATAATGTCTAGGCAAATTGGCACAGGGTTCAAAAATTTAAATCTGATTAGGGAATAAAATACAATGTATTTTCCTTAGCAAAGACATGGCGCCTCTGGTTTTATTGGATCAGTTAGTGTATGGTAACAGGAGAATGGACTTAATTTCCCACATAACGAAAGGCATTTACCTTCAAGGTACTTCCTCATGGTGGTTATTTTTTTTCAAGATTTATTTATTTATGCATACAGAACTGGCCAGAGGTGCAGGGGCAGTGAGAGGCTTCACCAGAGACAGAGCTGGAAGCAGAACAGGCAGATGGACAAAGTA